TTGAGAGTAATCTCTCCAAGAATTGGGCCACATTGAGAGTAATCTCTCCAAAAATGGAGCCATTTTGAGAGTAATCTCTCCAAGAATCGAGCTAGTTTGAGAGTAATCTCTCCAAGAATCAGGCCATTTTGAGAATAATATCTCCAAGAATTGGGCCACATTGCGAGTAATATCTCTAAGAATCGGGTCATTTTGAGAGTAATCTCTCCAAGAATTGGGCCACATTGAGAGTAATCTCTCCACGAATCGGGCCATTTTGAGAGTAATCTCTCCAAGAATTGGGCCACATTGAGAGTAATCTCTCTAAGAATCGGGTCATTTTGAGAGTATTCTCTCCAAGAATTGGGCCACATTGAGAGTAATCTCTCCAAGAATCGGGCCATTTTGAGAGTAATCTCTCCAAGAATTGGGCCACATTGAGAGTAATCTCTCCAAGAATTGGGCCATTTTGAGAGTAATCTCTTCAAGAATCGGGCTATTTTGAGAGTAATCTCTCCAAGAATTGGGCCACATTGAGATTAATCTCGCCAAGAATCGGGCCATTTTGAGAGTAATCTCTCAAAGAATTAGGCCACATTGAGAGTAATCTCTCTAAGAATCGGACCATTTTGAGAGTAATCTCTCCGGTAGTCGGGCCATGAAAGTAATCTCTCCGATATTCGGGCAAGGATAAGTACTCATCCCCTCGCACCCCAAGATTGTCTTCTTCATGCATGGATCATCTTGTTGAACAAGAACAAATCCTCATCGCTTGACCTACAACAAAAAAGAGACAACAAAATAAGAAAAGCACAAGAAAAGAAGAAGAAATTACCTTCGCGTTAATGCTTCTAAGTCTACAAAACTAGACTCAAGTGACTTGCAAAGACTACAAACTGATGCTCAATAAACACGAGTATATGGCTTTATATAGATTTTCGTAGATGGCTTGCTTTAGCCTATTCTCGATGTGGGAACAAGTACTAAAGCAACTGCAATTGTTTGATACTAACACGAACTAGGAGAAGGTATTCGAAAAGGATTCGGATCTATATAATCCATCTCTGAAGGGAATTTGGATTTGTTTGGCGGCGACAGTAATTTGCTTGCAACAAGGAATCAATAATGCATAGTTGTCCCTTTAACCAAGTAATGTCGACACCAAATTCCATGAAACAAGGAAAGCACTTTGGAAAGGATACAAACTGTTATCACGTGGATGAACTTTTCTAAATTATGAAAAAGTGTCATTTCGTAGTAATATTAGATTCAAATACCAATGTATGCCTAATCAACATGGCTTAGCTTTATTCCTTTCTGAGGAATGTACTGACTTATAAGTCTCATAGTCAAATTATTTTAAGCAACTGGCATAATCTATGCAATACAAATGAACCACAAAAAATACCTGTTTTGAGGTAAGTTGATCCGAGGATCATTCATCGTTACTTCAAGCCTGCCCTTGAGGTTTATTAAATTTATCCCTCAAGTAAATCTTTAAGTAGGGGGCATTTGTAGGCATGTAAAATTTATTGAATTTAAATTTATAAATAATTTGGACTATATTTTAAATATGCTAGTCCAAATAAATATTATTGCGCTAATATAATTGAATTAATTATATAAGTCTAATATATATGAATTAAATAAATAAGTCTTAATCCATTGGGCTAGCCCATTTAATTGGGCTAAAGTGATGAGCCCACTTCATTAAGCCCAAGATGTCATCTTCCTAGAGGCCTAGTTTGGTGCCACGTGTCAAATGACGTGGCGCACCAAGTCAAGCGGAAGAGCCAATAGGACCATGCCACGTGTCAAAATGACAAGGCATGTCCAGTCGCGCTAAAAGGCCAATGAAATCGTGCCACGTGTGCAAGTGACATGTTCTGACCAATCAAATGCAGCCATGTCATACTTCAATTTGATTGGTCGAAAAGAGTTTGTTCTTATCACAACTCTTCCCTTCCACAACTATAAATAGGGGTCTTCATAACTCAGAAAAGACACCAGAAGTTATAACAAGAAGCAAGAAAGAGCTCGTGGATCAGACGCTGCAAATTCCTCCACAAATTTCAAGCTTCAAGTTCAATTTCAAGAAATCAAGTTCAAGTTCAAGAACGAAGAACAAATCAAGTTCAAGCTCAAGAACGAAGAACAAATTAAGTTCAAGCTCAAGAACGAAGACCAAATCAAGTTCAAATCCAAGCAATCAAGCTCAAGCTCAAGAACATGATTATCGTTCGTGGCAACAAATAGATATTCAAGATCAAGCTCAAAGGCCCTTGAATTTATTTACTATTGAAAAGAAGAATCAAATGATTCATAGAGATTGTACACTCAAATATTTGAAATAAATTACTACGATTGTTACGATATTTTTCGATCTTGATTTTATTTTCTCGACGCAAATTTATTGTCTACGAATAGTTCCTCGAAAAATTGACTATTTCTTCATTAATAACTAGAAAAATACTCACAATGCCACTTTTTATTTAATATGCACATTTACTACTCTATTTATCATCACATTTCTTTGAATAAATTAATGAAAACGCCACACAAAAAAATAAAAGATAAAAAACATATGTATGATGCCTACTTTTTATTTTATGTAAATTAAATTATCTTAGTACATAAAATTCTTTTTTATCCCAATTCCCACCCACGACCCAACCACTCACGTGCACGTGACCGCTATTGCAGCGAGAAAGAGAAGGCTGCCATAAAGGGAACGCATGTCGCTTTAGTTTCTAACTTCAAACTCCTCTCTCTCCCTCTCTCTCTCTCCTTGCATTTTCTAGAGAGAGAAACACACACACACGCAGAGAGACCCAGCTTTCATTTTCTCTCTCTACGATACATACATAACATAAACTCCTTTGTACCTAACCCACATTCCTAGAGAGAGAAACCCAAACCCCTCTTCTCTCTCTCTTTCTCTCTCATCATAATCATAATTCTGGGGTTGTAGTGGAGATCGTAAAACCCTAGAATTTGGGGCAAAGTAAATGGGGGAAGAGTATATAGGGAGAAGAGTCAACAAAGAAGTCAAAGGCGTTGGAACATTCACTGGTACAGTCAAATCCTACAATTCTACAACTGGGTTCTTCGAGATCCTCTATGATGTGGGCGATTCCGAGTCTCTTGACTTGTCCCAAGTCCTCTGCTTGTTGAACGGATCACTGCCACGTCAGCAGCAGACTGTTGGTCGAAAGCCCAAAAAACGACGTCGTATGGCAAAAAATTCAGGTAACAATGCTGACACGGAAATGAATTATAGTGAGAATTGTAGTGAAATGAACTTGAATGTGAGAAAAGATGGTATGCTGAATAATGGGTTGAATTTGGATTTGAATTATGATGTGATGGTTAATTTGAATGACGACGACGATGATGGGGTAGTTGATTTGAATAGGAGTCAATTGGATTTGAATAAAGGGGTGGATTTGAATGTTGAGGAGAATATGGGTGGTGTTAATGAGGTAAAGTTGGAAACTTTGGAGGGAACATTGAAGAATAGAAGCAATGTGATTGATTTGAACGTGGATGCAAATGGGGACGTGGGGGGTCGTGTTTCGGAGGATATAAGGATAAAGGGTGGCGGGCACTGTTTTGACTTGAATTTAGGGCTAGATGAAGAAAGTAAAAATGTAGATGTTGTTGTTGGTGATGAGACGTCAAAGGAAATGACGACTTGTTGTTTTGGAGAAGGAGGAACTCGGGAGAAAGAGTGTAGTCGAGATGAAGAGAAGGTCCCACTGAGTTTGGATACTTGTTTTACTGTGAGTGAGTTAACAAATGGCACTCTGCAGGAAGTTGAGGTGAAGTGGACGACGCCTGATAAGGGTACTAGTGGGTTGGAAGTGCCAAATGGTGCTTCGGGGAGCTTGATGAAGGGCAAAAGGGGTAGAAAGAAGAGGAAGCTCCTCGATGGTGGCAGAAAAGGTGGTACGGAGACGGTGTTGAGAAGAAGTGCTCGTAGAGCGAGAATAGATTCCGTTTCTGCTGAAGATCACGTTTATTGTGCAGTAGTGTCTGATGTAGCGAGTGATCCACTGTTGTCTCCTGCAGTTAGTGTGGTTTCAGAGGAGAAAATTATAGTATCAGGTCATGAAGAGTCTGATAAACATGACAATCTTCCGCAAAAGATGGATTTGCCTCCTACTTCGAGTAGTTTAGATTTAGATGGTATTCCTGTGCTTGATGTCTTCTCTGTGTATTCATTTTTGAGATCGTTTAGTACTTTATTGTTCTTGAGCCCCTTTGAGTTGGAAGACTTCGTGGCGTGCGTAAAAGCAGATGCTCCTACTTTATTATTTGACTCCATTCATTTCTCTCTTTTGCAAATATTGAGGAAGCATTTGGAGGCTCTTTCGGATGAAACTTCTGAATCTGCATCTAATTGTCTTAGGTAAAGTTTTGAACTCTCAAAAAGTTGTGTGTAAGTTTTTTTTTTGCTATAATTCCTTTGATACTCAATTTTATCTATACATTTACAATTGTGGAAGTAGGTCTCTTAACTGGGATTTGCTGGACCTGATCACATGGCCTGTCTTTATGGTTGAATATCTACTGTTACATGAATCTGAACTGAAGCCAAGTTTTGATCTTTGTCACTTTAAACTATTCGAGAGCGATTACTACAAGCAACCAGCTTCTTTGAAGATTGAAATGCTTAGGTGCCTTTGTGATGATGTGATTGAAGTAGAGGCCATACGATCAGAGCTTAACAGAAGAACTGTGGCAGCAGAGAACACGGATTTGGATCGGGATTTGAAGTTTGACAGTTCCAAGAAGAGGAAGGGTGCCATGGATGTTGCTACTGGTTCATGCTTGAGCGAGGAAGCAGTCGATGAATCAACAGACTGGAACAGCGATGAATGCTGCCTCTGCAAAATGGATGGTAGCTTAATATGCTGTGATGGCTGCCCTGCTGCATTTCATTCCAAGTGTGTTGGTGTTGCTAGTAGTCACTTGCCAGAAGGTGATTGGTATTGCCCTGAATGTCTGATTGGCAAAAAGAAGCCGTGTTTGAATTTGGCAAAATCAATTCGAGGGGCAGAGTTGTTGGCAACTGATCCATACGGCCGGCTATACTATAGCTGCTGTGATTACCTATTGGTGTAAGTTCCATCACCCTAAAGTTAGTAAGTGATTGTACCTTCTCTGACAGTCAGGTTGCTCTTTGAAGCTTAATCAGTCTGTTTATGTTTTAACATTTATCTTTCGGCACAAACGTTTGCACTGTTTGGAACAGTTTGCATTAGATAGTCTGAATCAGTATATGGTCTAGGTTGCTGTTGGCAAACATTTTCCATTTGATGTGGTGATCCGTTAAAAGGAAAATTTCACAAGCAAAGTAGTATTGTAATGTTTGTATCTCAATGGAGTCAAATAATTACAAGGGATTCATATGGCCAAATCCTACATTATTTAGGACTCAGTCATAGTACATTTACATTGAAGTTGTGATTCTTGAATACGTCTGATGTTATGACAAGTTTGTTACTAGCTTCATCTCCCTTTCATTCTTGAGATTTTTATTATTCATATTTAATACAATCACCATTTGTCTTAAAGAAGCTAAGTGACAAAACATGAATACAACTGACCAATAAAACTTTCCCTTCCATTTAGTAGTAGAATGTTTTCCGGAAACAAGGTTGATTTGTACTATCACCTTTTTCTAATTCTAATGTCTTTATTGAAGTATAGAGGAGTGAATGAAGATGGCAGATGTCATTTACATAAGAAAAACAAGTTTCTAGTGAGAGAAACTTCCACTTCTCTCTAACCTTGACTCAATCAAATCTCAATTCACTGTGGGTCTCTCACTCTTTGTTAATAATGACGAACCCATCTCTAACATCCTATATTATCCGATTGCACCAACTAATACAAGCTTAGTGTATCATAAAGAGAAAAGTGGATTAAACAGACTGATAGACATGCGTGCCGTGTATTTGTGAGGAATTACGGGGAGGTAGCTTCATGACCAGACATAGTGTTTGATAGAGAGTGAAGTTATAAGCTGGTTATGTTAGTATCTATATATGATTAAGAGACATTGGTGAAAGTTGAAAGCTCTTCCTGAAGGCGTGCTTTATTGGTCTCTTCGATTGCCAAGTTGCTTCCATAAATGGAGTCACAGTCTCACGGAGGGGGTGGCTAGGTTGCAGAAGGTAACTGCTCGCTTCGAGGTCTCTAGGTTAGTAGTTTCACATTCTAAAAGGTCTCTAGGTTAGTAGTATTATTGATCATGTTGCTTTGTTGGTCTCTTCGGCTGCCGGGTTGCTTCCATTAAAAGGGCCATGAAGTGAGCAACTAGGTTAGCCTCAATACAGGATTTTCCCACATTAATAAAATTATTTGCTTTATTTTAAAAAATAGAATTGTCTACTTGTAAGGAAAAAGTCGTGTTAAATAAAGAATAAATAAAGCTTTACTGAGTGTGTTAGCTAATTTCTAGTTGTCGATCATAGTCTCAAGGGTGGAAGCTAATGGTTTTGTCATATCCTCCGCGATTGTCTAACTTTTGATCTCCTATAATTCTAGTTTTAAGTTTTACATTATGGTCTGACACTGCATCTTCTTTTATTAACTGTGCCAAAATGTGGTAGTTGTCATTGACTCGTTTCTAATCTGGGGCACCAGACTCGTGTTTTTCTTGTTTTTTTTCTGTTCTTGACACTTTATCATTTCTTTACCAGTTCTCTTGGTTTAAAATAATACTTAATTATTCTCACAAGTTGAGTTTTGTGCTACTGTCCTTGCAGGTCTGATCCATGCGAAGACGAGTTCTCACTTAAGTATTATCACCGAAATGATTTGGCTGTGGTTGTAGGGATGATGAAGTCATCAAAAAATATTTACGGAACTGTCTTAAGTGTGATTATGAAGCTTTGGGATATAAACTGTATGGCTGCAGTTGCAAAATGTGATCTGGATACCCAGCTGAAAACTCTGCCCTCAAATTCTCCAGTGTTGATCCTGTCAAAAAATGAAGAGAAGGTAAATGAAGGAAAGGATGCGGAAAAGCTCTTGTCATGTTCGGATGATGTAGGATATGACAAGTCAGAGACTGTAGACCCATCAATGAAGACGGGAAATCTACCGCCAGGATCTGAAGGATCAGCTGAAGTATCTCAGGTTGTTGCTGACAATCAAAATTACAAGGAGGCTGGAACATTTGAAGAGTCTGATCTTACAGAAAAAAATATGGAGGCTAGAAGAACACTTAAAGAAAGAAAGGGCAATGAATCTTTGGACTTGGGGACATTAACAACGAGCAGTAAAGAAATCATATCAGAGGAGCAGTATGCGGAAAGTTATGTGAACTATTATAGCTTTGCCCGAATGGCATCATCAGTTGTTGAAGAGTTAACAAAGAAACCACCTGGTAAGTCTGGTGAAGGTGCTATAAAAACAGTGGAGGAAATTATTTCAACGCAGCTGAAGGCCATATCTAGCAAATCTACTGAGTTTTGCTGGCCCAATGTTCAGAATCTGAAGATTGATGCTTGGAAAGAAAAATGTGGGTGGTGCTTCCCTTGCAGAGTTCCAGAGTGTGAAAATGACTGCTTGCTCATCCAGAATTACGCAGGTCCTGCGCCAGAAAGTTTTTCTAGTGATGCATTGGGTGTCTGTTCTAGGAAGAACAGGAAAAGCCATCTTGTTGATGTCCTTTGCTACATAGTGAGCATTGAGGATCGGCTTCATGGGCTTCTGTTGGGTCCTTGGTTGAATCCGCACCACTCTCAAAATTGGCGCAAAAGTGTTCTTAAAGCACATGAAGTTGCTGGACTCGGAGCTTTTTTGCTTACGGTAAGGATGATCATCCCTATCTTTTGTATATTTTATTTAATTGATAAGTCAAAAAATTCATTAGCAAAGAGTTGGTGTCAAATAGTATGTACAGGAGGTGCATGTGACTCCGCATCCATTGTCTTCCACCTATTTTACCTACTACCATACGGCATGGTGTTTTCCCTCGCACTAAAAATACAAGTGAAATAAAAAAAGAGCTCTTAATGTTTTCTACATCATTCTTAATATTATCATCCCGCTCTTTTTGTCGTTTTCATTTGCAAAATGTCTTCTACTTCGATGAAAATGATGTGCTCGTAGTTCATTTGTTCATATCCACATGGAGCTTGATCTTCCCGGCTGTTCTTAATGCTTCATGTCGGAGAAAATATTCTTTTAGGCAGTTATTGTGACTTTGATAGCTTAGTAGGAAGCTATATCCCTTCTCGGTCCCTAAATTTTTTTTTGGAGGGCGGAAAGGTCAGCTGCACTAGCTATTTCCAGTTATGTGTACTATGTGATCTTAAAGTTTCACATGGTATGACAGAGAAACTGGTTTGGACTGCGAAATGCTTTTTTCTTTTGAGGTCCAGTGTGTATATCACAATACAACTTCCTAGTATGGTTGACTAAACTTTATGCACATTGCTGTCGATCATGGGGAAAACCAAGTGCCGATATCACCCTCAAAAAAGTTATATATGACATGACTTTGTTAAATATGGTCTAGTACTTGGGATTCTTTCCTAATACAAAGTACGTTAGTCTAAGAACATAGTGAACATGAACCTCGTAAAGATGGATCTTTTAGCGCGGTTTCAAAAGTCCTCTTGTTGGAATGAAGGCTTGTCATAACAGTACGCTTACTTTAGGTTCAGTGTCTGCTAAGAGTCTTTTAGCCTGTTTAGAGATGTGTATGACAGTATAAATTTCAAAGAATTCGTAGTGTCAGAGAACTGCAAGGTATTGAATGTCGGAGTAAAATGAGTCTAAATAGGGTGAAATGGATGGTGAGAATTCATATAGCCGATCCTAACTAGCTTAGAATTGAGAAATAATAGTAGTTGTAGTAGTTATTATTGCATTTCATATCTGTATAGATTTCTGACTGATACTTTTGGTGCCAGTTAGAGTCGAACTTGCGGCCTCTAGCACTTACCCCTGATTGGCTTAAGCATGTGGATTCTTTAGCCAAAATGGGTTCTGGGCATCATATCGTTACCAATTCACCACGTGTGTCTTCTAAACATGGAATTGGCAAAAAGAAGGCTCGGTATTTGGAGCCTGAGTTGAATCCATCTTCAAATGCTGGAAGTGGGTTGGGCTTGTTTTGGTGGAGGGGGGGAAGGCTATCCCGTCGTCTATTCAACTGGAAGGTTTTGCCTCAATCATTGGCGTGCAAAGCTGCCCGACAAGGTCTAAACATTTGTTTTGTTTTCTAATACAACTTGGGTTTCTGGTCAACGGAACAGTTGAGCTTAATTTACCTAGAATTATCATGTGCAGGTGGATGTAAGAAGATACAAGGCATGTTATATCCGGATAATTCAGACTTTGCCAAGAGAAGTAAGTGCATAGCCTGGAGGGCTGCTGTTGAGACTTCGAGATCTGTGGAGCAACTTGCTCTCCAGGTACGCTTTCCATGCAATTCAGTTTCGGCTACTAATGATTAACCGGAAAGAAATGATTTTCCTGGATCTGCTACCTTAATGTGGCACTTCAGCGGTCCAGATGATAGAGATATGGTCCTATATGAAGTACCCAAATTGACTCCATTGGACATAGATAGTTACTACTTGCGTTAATTACAGTAGCACTTTTCCTTATGGGCTATGGCTTGTGTTGAAAGGACATCTTAGTTGTCTTTGTTATTGTTGACAAAGATGCATGCTTGAGTGTAGTTTATTGAGCTTTTGGTTCATTGTTTTCTCTTTTTCACTTTTCAGGTTAGAGATCTTGATGCTCATATTCGATGGAATGATATCGGAAACACCAATATCCTTGCAATGATGGATAAGGAATTTCAAAAATCTGTCAGATCATTCAAGAAGGTTATTGTACGCAGGAAAAGCTCTGAAGGATCTGTAGTTAAATATCTTCTTGATTTTGGTAAAAGAAGATTCTTACCTGACATTGTTGTTCGATGCGGAACAATGCTAGAAGAGGCTTCAAATGAAAGAAAGAGATATTGGCTAGAAGAATGTCACATGCCCTTGCATCTTGTGAAAGGATTTGAGGAGAAAAGAATTGCTCGCAAATCTAGCAAGATAACTGTTGGGAAGCATCGTGAGACCAAGAGAATAATGAAAAAACCTCTGAAGAAAAAGGGCTTCGAATACCTTTTCCTCAAAGCAGAGAGATCAGAGTGTTATCAGTGTGGGCATTGTAACAAAGATGTCCTAATTAGGTATGATGCTTCTTGATATTTGTGAAAAAGCTTCAGTCAGATAATAGCATGCACAAATTTCTAGCTTACATGGATGAATTGACACTTCTTTCATAATCTGGGGAGTTATGAAAATACTGTTTTTGCTATTTATAGTAAACATGGATAAGGTTTTTCTGCTGAAAAAGAGAGGATTTAGTTATGGGAAACACGTGTCGTGCAGCAACTTCTGAATAACCTTGCGAGCTCTATCTTTTTCATTCAGTTGCTTTCTTCATAAAAGTCATTTAGCATTTCAGTCTTAGTTTCAGCTCATTTCTGTTGTGTTTACTTTTCCTGCTTTCCTCCTCCTTCTTTCACCGTTTACTTAGTATTTCCATTAAGAAACAAATAACTGTAGCAACTTTTGCAAATTCAAGACAATATTGATTGTTTAGCTTTGGTCACCTTGGGTTCTGATATCAGGTATCTTGTCTACTGTTAAACAACAACAACAGCTACACCTCAGTCCCAAACAAAGTTGTGGTCGCCGATATAAATCCTCACTTCTTTCTTTAAGCTCAACTCATATAATCATCTTTCCAAACTAAAATAATAGTAGTCTACTGTTAAATGACAAAATTTGAACAGCTTTATACCATTATCCCCTCCACACAACACCCCCNGGATATAATTAATGGCATCAAGTAGATGCAATTAGTACAAATGCCAAAGTGAGTTTGTTAGCTCAATTACAATGTGGCCTATAGTACTAAAGATAAGGAGCTAACAAAGTCCAAAAACTTATCTGTGGAGTTTACAGGAAAGAGATTACTCCAGCTATATAAAAATAAAAGACAATTAGCCTTGAGAGTGTGATTAGGAGTTGATATTCCATCAAAACATCTTCTGTTCCTTTCTGTCCAGATACACCAAAAAATACAGGTAGGGGTCCTTTTCCAGATCTTTCTTATGGACCTACCAACTTTCCAAGAACTCCAATGCATGAAGGCATCTTTAATCCTCTCAGGCATTACCCAACTAAGTCCAAAAACTGAAAAGAACATGTTCCAGATATCTGTAGCAACTGGACAATGCAATAGGAGATGACTGTTGGTTTCTATGTTCCGATGGCACATATAGCATCTGTTGTTCCTTCTCTGGAGATTGTCTTGAGTCAAACATGCTTCATAGAGTGCTGTCCAGCTAAAACAAATCTTGATGTCAAAGAGTACTTTTGACCTCAAAATCTTGATGTCATACATGTGTATAAATCAATGCTGTTAGAAGCACGTAGATCCTGAAGTTAGGTAAGGTTGGGCTTTCGCCTCACTAAGGCAGTGTTCTGCGGCAGGCACTATTATTTAGATCTCAGTTTTAGTTGGAGTAGATTTATGGTTTGATTATCAGCTTATTATCCAAAAGTGATAAGTGGCGAATCTTGTGTATATGTTAAGGTAAAGAGATGGCTGTGTTTTAAGCAGCTGCAAACCCCATAGGAAAAGGAAAAAACAAGGAAGAAATTAGAAAAGGAGGGATCGTAATATGTGATACTTGGACTGTTATAATTTTTGGTCTTTAAATATGGAGTTTTATATTTGGCAACATTTGATTATAACTGTCAGACAAAGCAGCTAGTATTTCCTTGTTATGTCCAGGAACATGATTGCAACTATGCTTTAGCAGTTGATATAGTTTCACCTTGCGAGGAAAAAATGTCTACCTCCTTGGAGATGCTGCCAACCTGTTGGTCGCTTCTCTGTCCTATTTTTTGGGGTATCATTTTTACTTTGTGGAAGCAAGCAAGTGTGAAAATATTGTCACCCTTGAATTATGTTCATTTTGTTGAGGTCTACACAAACTTGCCCCTGAATAACATTGCGGGAATAGTTTCAGATTTCCAGTATTGTGTGGATCTGATTTTTGAGAATATTTCCTTTTCGCTTGTTTCCTGTGCATGGGCATGTTAGTTGTCGTTGTCCAGTTTCTAACTGGCTCTCTATGTTCTGGTACGAGTCCTAACTAGATAAAATTAGGTATTATATCTGTGTACAGTTAATAGAATGAAGAATTTGGTCTTCCATTTTCTCTAGATGTTTTACTCTGAACTTTTTTTCTTAAGATTAATTTTCTTTTGTTACTTGCAGGGAAGCTGTGAGCTGTCAGTACTGCAAAGGTGAGTACTTCAGTTTCTCCTAATAAAACTTTCTTACAGCTCTACTCACTAGTGAACTGTCTAGTCGTCATTTTATAATTATTCTTAAGTACATCAGGTAACTGAGGACATTCAATGACATGTGAAATATTTTGGGATATTAACATGACATAAATGATACAATTGATCTTTGGAACCATATTGGTATCTGCATGTTCTGCTCAATCAAAAAGCAAGGATATGCCTTTAGTTGGTTGATTTTTTCCATGGCCCAAGATTGGGTTAGGTGGTCGTCTTATTAAGCACCAGTTGCACCCTCTGCAGGGATTCTGCTGTTCACGTTGTCAGATTTGCATCATACTTCCAAATAGCAGTTTCGAATTGTCTGCTATTTCTTTGGCACTTCAGATTTTGATTTATTACTAATTGGGATGTTGTTATTTTAGTCTCTGTTTTTGGTTTTGCCAATAACATCTAGATGTCATTGCATAGTACTGACGACAAATACAAATAAAAAAATAGTTCTCCATCTCAAATAACTTACACTATCAGATGAGAAAATAACATAATTCAATGGTATTGGGGCATGTGAAAGTCCTTCGTTTCTAGTAAGTCCTTGGTCTCTAGTCTCACCATCACCAATGATCATAGAATTTCCGTGATAGTTGAATTATCAGCCCACATGCGATGGCCATGCTTAAGACAAGTATTCCTCCTCTAATAGTTAAAGCTATTAAATTGCTTGATGAGATGGTCACATAATTCAATACTAATAAGTTGGAGGAACACAAAGGTCTATTGTTTGTTTGATTTAGGCAAAAGGTCCTCCCTTTATTAAGTGTCGAGGCTTCAGTACCTTTTCTGTTTGGTGCTGAGACTTTTTTTTCCCTCGAGTTTACTGTATCAGTTCCATTGTTCTTTTTTCATTCAGTTCCATGTGGATTTTATTTGTTTACTTCTACATATGTTGATTCAAATACTTCAAAGTTATTTGGTCATCAGTTCAGTGTACTTTCATCTTCTCTTCCACATCTCCCTTAACTTTTCTCCGCATTTTATGCAATTAATCTGATATTTTGTCATTTTCTTCAGATTTCTTCCATAAACGACATGTAAAGTCAACTGGATTTGCCGCTGCTGGGTTTAAGTATACATGCCACAAGTGTGCGGCTGTGAATAATAATGGGAAAAAGAATGTCAAGAGAGGGAGGATAGAGTTGCAAAAGAGTAAGAAAGTATCGAAAGCCTTGAGGCCACTGTGCTCAAAAGTTAAATCCAGAGGCACCAAAAATAAACAGCCAGCAAAATCACAGAGTAGTAAAAAAGAGCCTGTTGCTATACCCCTCAGGCGTTCTGCTAGGACAGCTAAATTTGTAGCTGTGCAAAACAAAAAAATAGTACACAAAAGAGGGAAACAAACAAAAGCTGGAAGGGGTAGACCTAAGAAAAAAGCAAAAGTTGACATATCGGAGAAAAAGAAACCAGCAGAAGTTGCTTGGCAGAAGAAGAGAATGCAATTATGCCGGATATACTGGCTAAATGGTCTATTGCTCTCACAAAAGCCAAATGATGAACGAGTGACACTCTTCAGGAGTAAAAAGCGTCTTGTTCTTTCTGGAGAGTTGGCTGCTACAGCAGATCAGCCGAAGTGCAGTCTTTGTGGTGAACTAGAATATACACCTGCTTCAAATTATATTGCATGTGAAGTTTGTGGAGGTAAGGGTCTTATACAGTGTTGTGTCTATGTCGACGATCCCTTTGGTTATCTTGTTGGTGGCTGTCTACCATATATCTTGAGTTGGTTTTAAATCTTGTATATCTAATTGTTTTCCTGCGGAAATGCGTTTATTTATTTTCAGTTGTCCATCATGTTTAACAAATGAGGTGACATTGTCTAGTATAACATTGTCGCTCTTGGGTTTGGTCTCCTCTAAGTCTGCTGTTTCAGTTTGTAATTGTTAAACTATAGGTGATAAGTGATAAGTGTGAATACTTTCAGTTTATATAAAAGTGAGTATGTGGATCTTATTTTATAAAAATTTGAACTGGAATATGATCGTGACAGGAGATTTAAGAGGTAGTGTTGCAGAAGACAAGCTATCAATATTTGTTGCTGTTCAATTCATTTTTGTTTGAGCTCCCTTTCTATTTCTCGAGTTACACTGTTTAGTTTGTGCTTCAAAGGTTGCTTGAAAAATGATATTTTAATGGGTCTTTCAATAAAGGAAACTCCTATATCTAAATTGCACTTTATGAATCTGATTATTGGGTGTTGAAATGTTTATATATTTTCCAGATTTTTCTTCTTTTCTCTCCTTATATCTCGTGCCTTACCTTATTTTCCTGTCTGATTACTCCATCCTGCAGACTGGTTTCATGGAGATGCTTTTGGTCTTACAGCTGAAAGAATTACTAAGCTAATTGGATTCAAGTGCCACAAATGTCGGCAAAGGTCCCCTCCTTTTTGTGCTCATTTGCATACAATGGGTAGCAAGGGTAAGCAGGTTCCTTTGGAGAGTAATAAGCGTGAAGATGCAAATAAAACATGTAACATCGAGTCCTGCTCAAGTAAGGGACCACTAGAACAGAAATCTCACTTGAATGATGAATCAGGATCTTGTTTTACTGGTGATAGTGATGAAAAGCATCCGCGAGGGGCTCTTCCTGATTCATGCTGTGCGGAGAATGGAAGTTTGCCTATTATTAGTTCAGAGCAGGGAGAAACTATTGATAGCTGTAGCAAGATGGATATTGTACTTCCAGATGAGCCGGGCTTATTGAATGATAATGTTAAGTGTATCAAGGAGGAGGAGGATCAGAGACCATCGAATGAATTGTTGTCATCTGATGACAGCTCTTTGCTGAATGATCCCGCGATAGAGGTGAAGGATGTGTCAGTTGGATCTGGGGAAAGACTTGAAGAGAATACTACCCTTGTGACAGGATGTACATCTTCCAAGTCTGCAGAGGATCTTACCGAAACAGGATTACCTTCATTAACATGACCAACAGAGGAATGGTAAAGCAACAGTCATTCCCGAATCTGTGGTAGATAGAGCTGTTATTGACGGACCTGAATTGTCCTCGGAGAAAATTTTAGTTTCAGAGTAATTTGTAGGTCTTGAAGGGAAAAAATTAGGTTAGAGGTGTAGAATATACTTCGACTCATACAGTTACTGGCCGTAGTGTTACGGACATTAGCTCATTTGTGAATCTTCTTATGTTATTGGGATGTTCATTTATAAAGCAGTATTTTGATACTTCAGTCATCATTGGAGTAAACAAAGAGATGATTTGAAGTGTGTTTCTTTCCCTTTCAATGCATTCTTTGATTTTAGTGGAGACAAATTGGTTAATGCATTATTTTTAGAGGTGGCAAATGGATGGTGCCGATACCAGATTAAGTGCTTGGTGATGGTTAGACTTTTGTCCAGACACTTTTTTTCTTTAGATCATGTTAAGAAGCTTCTCAGATTTCTCTGGTTCCGCTTTCGACTTCTGGGAATGACATGCTATCCAGGCACTAGATGTTGATTCAAGACCTGGATTATTTTTGAGGTGTACCCAACCCCCTGGTTTAAGTGATGAAATTATTAGTCATGCAGTTTTATCACTGTACTTTTCTGTTTTACAGGTAAGTCCTTATATGGCGAACTCTCCTTCAGAGATGGATTCAACTACAGGGTCTTCAGTCTTTCATAATCACTTAATGAGAATCAGTAGGAAAGGAAATTTGCACCATGGGGTTCATGTTACCAATCATAACTTAATCATTTGAATTGATAAATCTTCAGTGATTTTCATTGACCTTATCTGTATGGTATTTTGATTGGTTTTCAACCTCCACTTCAAAAGTCTCAAACTTCTTGCATTGCTCAGGTAGAGTGTACTTCATCTGGCGAACGAATTGTCAAAACGGACGCTATTGCAAACAGGAAATGCTGATTCTTTTAGGCGGATATAAACATCTGCAAGGAGTTAAAGGGCGCTTTATTTTCTGAAACTGCTTGTTTGTCATCTTTGTGTTTTTAAAGTTAGTCGTTGAGAGCTTTTGATGTCTGGTGTACATGTTGATAGACTAGTTTGTCTCTCATAATAGGATGTACCAACTAAGTACTTTCATTTCCCCAACCCAGCATTTAGAACTCCAACCATCTCTTTAGTGTTTGTACGATTGCTTTTGCTTTAGGTGTGAGTTATGGCTGCCTTATGCGGAATCCTATTCACTAATATCTCATATTATTTTTCTTCTGGGTTAGTTCAACAATAAGTTCTGCTGTGTGCAAAGCAAACTAGATCATAGATATACATCGAAACAATGAACTTCAAATGGATGTCTTATGGTTGGACATTTCAACTGCACTCTGATCTAGTGCTGCTTTCAGTTTGTCTTGTTTACTTGTGGCTTTGGATATCAATGCAGCATTCTGTTCTGAATATTTACCTGATTGTTTTACGTTTCTTGGGTTCTCTAGCTTTGCAGTTTGATGAAAAGTCTTGCTGTGCCTCGTGGTATGGGCTTTTATGCTTGGTATTGTCATTAAATTTTGCTAACGAGTGGTACGTCCTCATCTCTTTCCTACTTCACTTGGATTAGAAGCTTTATTTGTGGTTCCGTTTGTGCCTTGTAGAAAAGAAATCATGTTTGAGAAAGCCTGTCTGTTGTAATTTATCAATATCAAACATAATGAAGGGTTGTCCATCTCTAATTGTGCTAACTGGAAGCCTGTGACTGTCTCGGATGTGATCCTTTACCCTTCCACGTGCTATCAGCTTTATAATTCTCTCTTTCTTTTCCCTTTCTCTTTCCGTCTCTCGCCTTGGTTTTATTCTTGTCTCTCGCCGGCAGAAGGCAAGAGTTCTTTGGCTAAACCTAACTGGAGTGAAACACATCTTTCCATAAAATATTGTACCCATTAGCGGATTCTGAATGAAGATGCGGATATCAGAACGTGAATTATGCAGCTATACATTAACTTATACTAAACAAACAGTTGTCTACCTGCAATTGATAGTTCTCTATTCGACAGATTGATCAGGATGCCACAGTTGGCTTGATGAGAGGATGATGTACTTGAGAAATGAGAAGACGGGGCTCTGGTCTGTAATGTTTGGCATTTCTTTAGGTCAGCTTGTTGACTTTGAAGAATGACAAGCTTCAAAGCAGCGTAAATGATATTTTTTTTCCTAGTAAGAGTGACTATGGATATTATGGACTTTATGCCCTATTAGCTCAGTGTGCTGTGAGTCTACAAGATCATTCCCTTAATCTTTGCTATCAGCTTAGGGGAAGTGATTCATAATATCATCCTAGCTAATGAATTGCGACCAGAGATGGTGTATCATGCTACTGGAGCTTCTCTGATTGATGTTATGCCAAGCATGGACTTCAGAAGTTATGGACTGCATGTTGTTTCTGTAGGCACTTCAAATTTTTATCTTGTTGATGGCACTCCATAGAGTTCTTTACAAGTTTGAGACAGTTTGTGAAGGCAATTCTCTATCACCTCTTCTATTAATCCTGCTCAGTGGAGGGTCATAGATAACTTTAATAGTTGCTCGGCATTGGCTGGTTCAAATGTTTTACACATGCAATGCAACTCACTCTTCTTAATTTGGGGATGACACCATCATAATATTTGAAGCAAAAGAATAACTGTTGTGCTTTAAAGCTGCTTCTAGCGTGTATATTTGGCAAAAGTAAAATCTCTGCTATCTGGGGGGGGGGGGGGGAAA